TCCCAGTGATCCCTATCGCCAGCCACACAATAGTGTTTACACGACGTGGAGGAAATGTGGCCATGGAGCCCACTTTAGGGATTGTGTATGTTTTTCCTTGTGTGTGTGCATGTCCTCACTTTATAATCATTTAGTCTTTAAAACTCCAAGCTTGCAATGTCATATGAAAGGTTTACACTTATAACACTGCTTTTAAACTAATGCACACTGAGCTTTGTTCATGATCAATTATCCAGTTGACGATGAATTACTGCAATGCTTTTTATGTGAAAGTTTCTTGCTTGTATGCAAAAATCTCTCATATGACAGAGCTCACCAAGATTGTTAAATGATTTGTTTGAATGATTTTAAAGATTTGTTACAAAGCAGCTAAACTTATCTGCATAATAGGAAAAATACAATAGGAGCCCAGTCATGGGGTACATTGTTACTGGAATAGTTGCTTCTACTGAAGCAGGAAAACTAAACAACAGCAGCTCCAGCTTTTTTTTTTAGCTTCCTGCCATCTTCAGTAAACTTTGTTTGAACACATTTCAGTTTGCTGAGGACGCTGAAAATGTTCCTCAGTAATGTTTCTGGGTCCCCTAATTCTAAAGCACTAACGCACTGAAAAATTTAGCAAAAGCTTATTCTAAAGCACTAAAATAACCCAGTCATTTTTCAACATGAGTCACATATTGCCATGTTGCTCTCTTATCCCTATAATTCCACAGCCTTGTTTGAGTTCATTTATTGTCAATATGTCACCTGGTGGATCAGTGACACACATATGAACAAAACGTGTGACAGATTTYWCCCTCAGCTGTTAACATTAATGTTGATCAATAACATGTATAGACCTCAGTTAGTGCTTCTAAATTTAGCAAGTGCTAAACCACTAATGAATTCTAAAATTAGCAAAAGCCCTAAAGCACTAATCAGGAAATTAGACCCCCTATTAGTGCTTTAGGGGAACTGTGCGCACCACTCTTCTTTTCCTCTGGTCTCCACAACCCGAGCACAGATAAGCAACAGAAGATGGAGACATCAACCAGGACACTCAGTGCTTCACGATCTGTGTCCTCATTATAAATTCACTCAGCACTCTATTCGGTCTCTACGAAGATAATGTGTGCAAATCATCTATGGAGACTAGTGTTTTAAATCACACACATACACTGATGGGACACACATCTGAGGCATTAGGGGTGAAGTGTCTTGCCCAAGGACACAACCACTGAGACACCTGGAAAGGGGGATTGAACCGGCAGCYTACCGGTTGGACGACTCCCCTAACCACTCTGCCACAGCCGCCCCAAACCTTATTAGATGGTGTGAAAAAGCTTCAATTTTGGATGATTTATTTTCTTTTACAATGAACAGCAACTCATAGAAGCAGTGGTGTGCATTTTTTTCTCCAAATGTGATGAAAATATTTAATCTTTTAAAATAAAAAACAAGATAGAAATATTGTTTTGAAGTTACCTGGGCTAAGACCACCGGAGATGGCATGGACACTGATCCACACAGCTCAYTTTTAAAAACAAAATGCTAAAAAGGATTTATGTTGTCATGTTATGGRATGTTACCCATGAATCATCCAACAATCAGCTCTAAGGAATGTAAATGTAAAGCTTGAATAAAGTACTGATGTTGTCCACAGTATTCTTTTGAAATGTATCATCCAAATACACACACATCCTTGTATTTACATCAAACTGAGGACTTTGTGTTGACTTCCATTCATTTTTGTAACTGCATTAATACCTAACTCAGACAGTTTCACTAACATTAACCGTGTATTCTTAACCCTAACCTGAACCAGGACTTAATTCACACCATACCTCTAAACTTGACTAGTAAAGCACAGTAGTAGAAGTACGCACACACATTCGCATCAACACAAACATGTTCATTTTTTTTATCCATAATAACACAAATCACATCTTAGCCCCTAATCCTAACCCAAAAAGTGACTTGCATCATATAAGGACCAAGTTTTGATCCCCATAAAAATGACCAATTATGAAAGTTGATTCAGAAAATGTCCTAAAAAGTTAACAAAAACCAAGTACACACACACACACGTGCTTCACTCCAGTTTTAGCCAGGAGGAGGGCGTAACAGCTCCACTCTGAGATTAAAACAATCCTCTCTTGATTTCWTCCTCACTCAAGGGAAAAGCGGAAGCTGTCTGTTATCGTTTGGTTCTATTATTATTCCTTATTTACGGTTCGAGCGCTCAGCCTGGCTCTTAATGAGAGCGTCAACAATTCATCTTGTGTCTGTTCTGTGACTGTGTGAGGAGGAAAAAATAAGCCTTGGGAGGATAAACCAACACATAAACTGATTAGTGAAACACCGTCTCGCAGAGTTTCACAAGTTTGACCTGATTTAAATGAAACTACAGCTGCATCTTCCAATCGTTTGTAGTTTGGTTGGCTCATTTAGCCATTTTTAGCTCTGATATGAAAGTGAAAACTAAACTAAGTCTTAAAATAAGGACAAAAATGGCTCTGTAAAAAACGTTTTTCTAAACTTGAAGAGGGGCAGAAACAGTATGGTCATGGAAACATGGCAGCCTTTATCACAAATTTAAAGCAGAGTCTAAGTCTTTCTGACTTTTTTTGTTAAAATATGTATTTTTCAGTAGCACAAGGTAGGTGTCAACAAAGTAAACTATATTATTTTCTTCTAAATTTAATAAGATCACAATTTGAACAAATGTCAAAAGAAGAAAAAGACAAAACTATGACTTTGCAATCATGTCAGATCAAATGATAAGACTCTAAAGAAGAGGAAAAGCTAAATCCCAAAGGAATTCATACTGTCCCTCATGTAGCTTTTTATAGGTCACAGGCAAATTCATGCTGCCTCTGCCAGCCCAGCCGAGCCTTTACAACGTTTTTCTTGCACGTCGAGCGTAATCAAGCAGAACCACAGGTGTCAGATGCAAAAAAGTGTGTCTCCTAATACACGACAGCGTCTGCACTCTTGATTAAACAGACGCAGCCTTTACTGTTTATAACGATGATGATGAAGGCAAAGATGACAAAAGACAGAAAAAAATACAAAAACAATGGATTTGATGATGATGATGATGAGAGAGCTGACAGATTTATAGCTCATCAAACTGTTTTCTTTCTCAGGACCTTAAAGGTCAGGTAACTGTAGAGCTTCTATAGTTCCAGGGCCTAGTGCGTCTGAGGAGGAAATGTTTGGAGGACTGGAAGGAACTCTGACCCTGAAGGTGACAGAAACACATAGTTAAAAGCAACCGATTGGGCAGAAACAAGCTGGATTAGGTTGATAAAGAGGAGAAGAGTTGATGGGCTTTAGGAAGGAAGTTCAGAGCTCTAAGAGAGGAACGTTACGATGATGACTCGTGTATCGGTCATTAGTGACACAGCTGTGATGAGCAAAAACTGGGACCCAAAAATCTCCTGCTGGGAACATTTGAGTCAGATTGTAGAGGCTGTAAATGTAACAATGGGCAATAGGGCTTTTATTATCAAATATGTTTCAAATCTAACATACTGTAGGATTTTTTGCTTTAAACTCAGCTTGTAGACATGTCTTCATATAATATGCTCCTTTTTGTAATGTTACTAGAATTCCTTAAAGTGCACGTGACATAAAATTTTTGGAATAAMTATGAACTCATTTTTGGAAAGACAACATTAATAATGTGTTACAGTTTTTTTTTCAAGCTGCTGAGTTGAACAGCTGTTGCGATATTTGCATGTGAARCGACAGGAAGTGATGTCAAAGGGGAATGTCTGACCGTAAACAGAGGAACGCAACAACAACGAGTCACTAACAGAGTCAGAGTTCAAAAAACATTGTTTCAATAAACAAAGACCGGAGAATTTATTTTCTGAAAGAGTTCCCCTTTGATGTCACTTCCTGTTTCAGTTTGGCTGAGCCAGGTAAAAAAAATATGCGATGTTATGTGACAAAACGTGTGAAATCATGTCTTAAATATAAAGGTGTGAAGTACAAAGATCTTGGGCAAACAAGTAGCATTAATGTGTTGTAAAATTTTAATCTCTATCCCTCAGCTATATTAGCACACCACATATGGTATTAGCTAAACCAAACCCTTTAAAATTGACAGGGTTAAAGCAATTTTTGTGTTTGCTAAGGTTAATTAGTTGTGGCAGCCATCTTGAATGGTACATCAGGTTCTTAGCTTCATTAAAAAAAATCAAATGGTTTGAGTTTATGAGTCTATGTTAATAACGGACACACACAAGCTCACAAACAAACAATTCTATAATTACCTAACTTTCTTGGTGTTGGTCTATAAACGGCAGATGATTCAGTCAGTGAAATAATAGTGCTGATTCAGCATCATCACTATTGTTTCTTGTTTTATTTTTTTATTGAAGTCTAAGCATAACTGGTACAAAACATTTTGTTGGTGGGTTTTCTTTAACTGATRAAGGGAGATCTTTTAAATAAAGATATTACATCAGTGCCATGTGTGGCTCTGTGTACAGACACACATAAGCCCCTGTGCGTGTTTGAACGTTACGCTCTCTGTTTATTACATTGTGATGTAAGAGCAATGGCACACACTTCTCTGGAAATAGTCCAATATTCCCTCCARAGTCTGGGACTGACCATTCTGGTGCCATGTTTGTGTGTTTGCATGCATGSAGGCGTGAACATGCTTGTGTRTATGTGTGTGTGTGTGAGTGAGTAATGGGGGCAGAGGAGGAGAGGTGGTGCTGGTTCCTTATCTACAGACCACAGACAGCTTTTGAGGCCCTTATCAGCAGCCACCACATTGTACGAGCACATCCTCTTGTCCAGCAGGGAGCGGAAAACTCTCCTCGCAGCATGGTTCCCTCTCCCCACCCCGCCACCACCTCACATTTGCCACAACCAGAACTCTGGCATCCAGCTTGATTATTGTGTCGTCTTGGCGAAGGACAGGGATGGGGGACACACAGAGCAACGAAAAGGCAGAGAGGTGAAAATGACATGGGGACAGTAAGGGTGTGTGTGTAGGGGAGGGGGTGGTGGGGTGGACAGCAGAGACCCAAACCATCTTTCTGTGTCTTCGCTCAAAGGAGCAACTTCTCATCAGAACAACTGTGTTTGTTACCACAGGTTCAGACCCATTATAGCTTCATTTCTTYAAATATCTCTCTTTTTAAATATTTGCATGAAATATTTTGGAATTTTAAGCTTTTTTTTCTGAGCCCTGTCAGACAGTTTGTCTCCAGTTCTGACCTGAGACACCGACAGGCTTGTAAGGACTGTGAGCGACCAGAAGGAGGAGGGGAAAACCTCAAAAGGCTGCGCAGAAACAACATGTGCGTTCTGACGGATCACTTCAACTCTGACAGATCGGACATGACAGGCAGCCTCATCATGTGTCTGTAAGTATTCAGGATATTATTTGTTCTTTTATATTTTAATATTTTATTCATTTGCACTCTATATTTGTCTGCAACTTGTAAAAATTAATTTAAAATAAAGTAGACTGACAAACAGTYCTGCTGAATGTACCATATGGTACACACACATGCACATCTGTAGGGACCTTTAATACAGACAAATAATAATGGAAATGCTTCCATGTAATTGTTATAATAGAGAATTAAACTGTATTGTAAAAAAATGACTTATTTTAATTAAATAAAAGTTTTTCTTGATGACCTAATAGTTTTAACTAATAAGAAAAACAGAAATTTTGTGTGAAGGCTACATTTAAACAAAATAAACTAATTGGATTAAAAGTTATGAATATGAAAAATAAAATGGAATATTGATGCGTAAAAGCAAACAGGATAAAACAAACTATGCATGCAATAAAAACTCATAATTTTCAAGATATTTTTAAAGCATTTCATATTAAAAGAATATAGAAATAAAATTTACTATACAATATTTTTATTTGCAATAAAAATATTTTAAAAATGTGCATTTGCTGTTTGTATAAACATCATGTATTTCCTTTTTTTAAAATTAAAATAAAGTTAGATAATTATATAAAGCCTTGTGTTTGCGCTGCTTCCCTTCTGCTTATTTAGTCAAGATACTGTACATTCACATCAAATTTAAATTTATCAACGCAACAAAGCAGGGTATTATTTAAAACTACCTGCAAGTGTCGTCCAGAGACACSGCGGAGAAAGACGGAACCGACCAAAATAAAGTCATGACATCTAGCAAGAACAAAAAAACAGGAACAATTGAGATTGCAAAATCTGAGAAACTATACATGCTTTGCACAGGGGACAAAGTAGAGCCATGAATTTCCTCAGTATTCAACGTTTTTTCTAGTCTGAGCTAAATTTTACATTTTCAAATGTAGTCCAAACATACTTATTTCAATGCCAAACACTGTTGCTTTTGTTTGTAAGGTACATTACATACTATTTTTTTAAACAAAATTATCCTCCAAATATTTTGCTTTCTGAGTGTTTTTTTTTTCTGTCTTTTTTTTTCTTTTGTTTAACAGATTCATTGATGTCCATTCAGTCTTTAAGGATCCTCTGTGMTTTAGGTCCGTAAAAGAGTTTTGAGTCTCAGATTCAGACAGACAGACTCTATAAAGAGCAGCCACTGGGGACACATTCAAAACCTATTTGCCACTCAGGAAGCACTGTAAGAAAAATACTGACATTCAGACTAAATTCAAATCAAAGTACGTAGGCTGCGACGACCTCATGCTGGAGCCAGAATCGACAACTAACAGATTTTTGAATATACTGACTGCAACACACAAAATAGGGGTTACATTTTTATTGCCGTTAAAACAAAAGCCAACAGAGGTGAGAAAATGTGCCAGGATGTATTAAACTCATGGGAGTTTTCCACGAGTTAAACAATGATTTTGATTCTATGAAGACTAAAACGCTCTTAAATGTGTGTTTGTTTGTTGTGTTTCTCTAAAACTGAGCAGCTCTGGATCAGGACGCAAATAAAGCTCCATCATAAGTTGTACTGACAGACAGAAACAACTGCAACTGATGGATTTCAGGAAATGTGAGTTTTATGTGAGGAACAATAAAAGGTCTGAAGTTTGTATCATTCTAAAACTGCACCAGAGGGACGAGGACAGCCACGCTCTGAGAGAAACAGGCGCTTCTCTGTGACGGGTTTCACTCCGAAGACTTCACCATCATGATGGAGAAACTGAAACACGCTGCTCTGCCTGCATCGCCCCAAGAACAGATGGGTCGCCCTGCCTCCCCCGCCTCCTCGTTTTCTTCTGCCTCCTCGCCGTCCTGTGCGTCCGAGGAGCAGCACAGTCCCCTGAACTCTAACTCAGACCCCTTGGATGTCATCAGAACTCCCCACCTCGTGAAATCAAAGCAAACGGAGAAGGTCTCCATGTCGACGCAGCCTCCCGTCATCCTGACAACAGTGATGACCAGTCACCAAGTCGGTACAACTGATGCTCCTGAGCCTGTCATCATGGAGATGAAGCAGGAGAACAGGGCAGACAAACTAMAACACATCTCTGCTGCCCGGACGGACGAGTCGCCGCGTCTGTCCTCCCCGCCTCCACTCCTCCCAGCACCAGCCAAGACGTCCCCATGTCCTCTTCCTCCTCCAGCCTCCACCGCGGCTGCCCCATCACCTCTCCCTCCGCACATTCCAGTCATCAGCCTCGGTCACAGCAAGCCTCCCCTGCCGCTCCCCAGCACCCCTCTGACCGCCCTCCACCCCATCCCCAACCTCATCCACGGGCCCCACGGGGACATTCGGCGCAGCCAGCAGACTGTTTTATCCATGGTTGGCCCCATAACATCAGGATTATCTGGGTGTCCTGGAGGCCCACCAGCTGCTTCCCCCGGGCCCCTGTTGGCTCAACAGTATCTGCCTGCACACACCTTCCTCACCAGGTGAGAATTTAAATTCATTTGTGCGCTACACTAAAACCTCTTAAAATTAAACACAGCGAGGAGAGGTTTGGGGCTAAGATACTTATTATTACTTGTATCTTAAAATGATGTAAGACTGAAATGATACATTTTGGTTGAAAACGAGATTCTCAGGGTTACAGCACTGAGCGAACTATCACACCTGCAACAATAAACAGTAACTTCCTGAGATGATAGCAGTGATGACGATGATGATGATGATGATGATGATGATGATGATGATACTACAATGCCAAGTTTCTGTTTTATATGAAACCTTAACTACTGGAATTTTATGACTTCCCATGATGACTGACAGGAGCCAGCTATGTGAAACCAACAGCAGGATGTGTGCTGTGATTTGAAAAAAGAAAAAAAAAACAGAATTTTTTATGCTCTATTTTCTTAACGGAACATTTGGTTGCTACAAGTGAGTTCAAACACAGGAGGTTTTTGTGTTTCTGTTTAGAATCTGGTGAATCTATATCAATTTAGCAAACAGACAAATGGCTAAAACAATTGTTTGAAGCCGTTTCGAACTCTTGAAATGAGAAGTTCCTCACTTGCTTAATCTACAGTCAAAACAAAAACAACTCCGTTTGAAATCCACTGGATCAAACTTGGACCAAGCTAAACCTGAGTAGTTCCATGTCAGTGGGATTGTGTTGGGTTAAATTAGTTAGAGTTAAGTTAGATAAATAATTGGATTAAATGATTCATTTGTTAAATTAGAGACACTAAAAGTTGAGCAAAATTCAATTGCAGTGGYCCACAGAGTTCTGATTTAATCAACTTCTGCCATGTTATTTTTTACAGATATTTTAGGCCAGAAGACTTCTGGCCTAAAATATCTGTGAAAAATGACATGGTCCTTCTGCAATCCGACCACCGAGTCAAACATTTTGACCCACTTATTATACAGGAGTAAAAAAACATCTTGTTTTAAAACYGGAACTTTTTAAACCTATTTTCTTTCTCCTTTACAGTGGATTCATTTCTAGCC